TGTGTGTGTGTGTGTATTTGTGTGTCTGATGTATTGTGTTCTGTTGTGTTGTGTTGTGTTGTGGTGTGGTGTGGTGTAGTAAAGCACCTTCCTGCCTCTGAAAAATATGGGCTCTGAAAAATATGCCTTACTGATTCGCAAGTAAAATGATACAATATAGAGAAAAGGCTGCAATACATTAATAATCTTACAACACTGTTCGCTACCAATAACGCTGAGATTATTTTTTTTGTTTATGATTGATAATGGCTACCTCTGCGACTGAAGTAAGTTGGTCGACTTCGAAAGAAAACGAAATAGCTCAGATGTTCAACAATAAGCTGCTTCACGACAGATAAGACGGAACTGCTCTAGCACTACTATACAGGGTTTCACACTTTCACGAGACTTTCCGACTTTCTCCAGATCTTCACATTCACAGACGGAAAAATATGACCAGACGTCCCTGATAAGGTACCCGTTGGATACAACAAGACTAGATTGGCCCAAATCAAACATTTTGTTGCATTTTTTCCGTCAAGTCGAAAAAGCTTAACTAAGCGTCTTATGAAAAAAAAGGGTAATTATTGGTACAGTAGTCCTACGAATGGCAATGTAATTATGTTGGGGTTCTCTGATATTTGAAAAGATTTTACTTTTAAAATGGAAGCTGCTGGTCAATAAGTAGATCTAATGCTAATTGGTACATTACTTAAAATAATTTGTATAAAGCATTGGTAGGTGGACCAAGGAGTACACTGACCAGCCCAGCTCCCGGACCCAGCCCAATCCTGCAGACCCGACTCGTTGAACGAGCGTACATCATCTTAACTGTAAGTCGCGTGAGAGAAGCCCACAGCGTGCCCTAGCGAATATAGAGGGGCTCAGAGAGTGATTTAGGCCAATCCATTGAATCGGGTCTTTCGTTACAGGATATCGGCAGAAAAAAATGAAAGAAAGGCGACTTCGATAGCGTATGAGTGAGTAAAGCCACCAAATGCATATGATGTATAGGGAAGGATAGCCCTGTGAAGAAGAGGAAGAAAAGCAGAAGAAACCTTACATGTAAAGCAAACGTTGAGAAATATATTTTGCTTACAGAAAACACAATTCTTTGGAAGATCGCAAAAAAAGCAAGAGATCGGTAATATTTGTTGCTGTTTTTTGCGCCACTTTAGCGTGGCTGTGCCGACCTGAATGACGCAGAAAGTTAGGCCTCTTTTTAACAACAACGCCGTACTTGCTCGTTGTTTGGTGGATGAATGGGAGGGCAGCTTCTAACTGCATTGCTTTTTTGTTTCACTACGTCGTTTATCATCACTCAAGGATGTAGGAATTAAATAGAGGATATATATAGAGTCAAATGAAACAGAGAAACAGAGTAGGTTGATAGGGCGGCTTTGGCAAGAGTGGTTAGGCTCTCAGACTCGCAACCGTAAGGTCATGGGAACGAATCCCGACAGGGGCCCGACGTGGACTCCTTGGGTATGGCTCTTTACACGAATTTTCCTCACTTCACCCAGGTGGGAATGAGTACCCAGCTATAGACAGTGAAAGATCTTGTCAGTTTGTTAGTTTTAGAGCGCTTAATCAGGTGTTTGCACTGTATGCTTCCCGCCAAACTGAGAATGTTTCTGAGTGTAATATGGTTTGCTGTCGAGCAGGGATATGCCTAAACCAAATTAATGCTATCCATCCATCTATCTATCTATCTATCTATCTATCTATCTATCTATCTATCTATCTATCTATCTATCTATCTATCTATCTATCTATCTATCTATTTATCTATCT